GTAGATTATTAATTCATAGTGACAGCAGGATTGCAGAACGCTTCCCACAGGTGGCGCAGAAGCCTCCGCTCTTGACTGGCAGAGCGAGTACGCTTGTGAGGTCACTGCATCATTTCACCTCTCGGTTTGATATTTAAAGGGAATGATCATCATTTATTTTTCATTATTAATATACAAGTGAATGTGATCTGTGTGCTGTAAATAATGGTATCAATGTGTTTTAAAAAACTTTGTAGTTATGTATACCGAATTTTGATCTCCATAAGGCGCACCGGACCATAGGACGCAGGGAGGTTCTATGACAGCAGCTGTAGTTAGTGACCGCTGAGACAGGTGGCGCTGTGATTACAGAGCCACGGTCTCAGTGATCACACAGAGCAGACGAAGAACAGACGTTCTTCGTCTGCTGTAGGGGCTCTATGGTGAGCTCCTATGCCGTGGTCACGGGTCCCCCAGAGGAGCTGGGGAACCCGAAAAACACGGCGGGGGGCCCCGGACACGATCGCCGCTGCCGCTCGGTTTGATACAAGTGATCTGATTAGATCACTTGTATTAAACGAGCAGCGGCTCCCACTGTACATTTACCTCTGCTTGTCCAGAGCAGGGCTAAATGTACAAAAAAACTACTCGCCCGGCGCCCAAAACTGCATGTCCCGGGTGTCGGGCGAACTCGGTTTGATACAAGTGATCTGATTAGATCCCTTGTATTAAATGAGCAGCGGCTCCCACTGTACATTAAACTCTGCTTTAGCAGGGCTAAATGTACAAAAAACTACTCGCCCGGCACCCGAAACTACATGTCCCGGGCGTCGGGCGATAGGGATTCGCTCCATAAGACGCACACACATTTCCCCCCGCCTTTTGGGGGGGTGGGGGCCTGGCAGAGGCACCCTGTCCACAGCTCTAGTGCGGCCTCCACAGCTCAGTTCAAGGACTGCTGTGTGCACTGCTTCTCCCTCTCCTCTGGTATTCCTGAAATGTGCACTGATTCTCTGCACCATCTTGGTCTCAGTGCACCCAGGTGGTGACAGAACCATCCCTCTCTGTACACACCAACACCGGGGCAAACAGAGGTCACGTCTCATCCCAGGGTGATTAACAGCTGCAAAATTGGTTGACTGCTCCAGACAATGCTGACACGTTAACTTCTTGCACTGACATTTACCCAAGTCAGGGGAGGACATTGCTCAGAAGGACCATAGTCCCCTTTACGGAACAGTCAGCTTCAAATAAATACAGGGCGTGTTCATGCCAATGGGGTGCATTAATTGCACAGTTCCGTGCGACGAACCTTCTGTGCATTACAGAGCGGCAGGTACGTTGCCCTTCATTTGAATGGAAACCCAAACACACCTCTGACCATACTTATTTGGCTGCGCCGCAACGTGCGGTACCACAATACCGTGTGTTCCAGTGAAAAATGTAGTGCGTACACACACCTCCCGCACTGTAACACACAGTAGGTGCATTGCATGGTATTGTGCGTTAGTCACATGGAACCGTGCGATTAACGCACCACATTGTGAACTAGCCCACAGGAATAAAATTCCACTCAAATCTGACTTCCTGACCCCTGCACTCTGCATTACGTACTCCTGACCTCTCCCCTCTGCATCTTACCTGTGACCCATGCACTCTATGTTATATACTACTGACTACTACTTACCTCTACAGATACAGATCACTACTTACCTCTACACTACATTCTAATGACCTCTGCGTTACTTACCTCTGACCCGCACACTCTACGTTACATACTACTGACCTCTGCACTACTTACCTCTGACCTCTGCACTACATACTAATGACCTCTGCATTACTTAACTCTGCGTCATATACTAAAGAGCTCTGTATTACTTACCTCTGACCTCTGCATTACATACTACTGACCTCTGCATTACTTACCTCTGACCCCTGCACTCTACGTTACATACTAATGACCTCTGCACATTCTATGTTACATACTACTGACCTTTTTGTTACTTACCTCTGCACTCTTTAATCCTTAGCTATTGCGTGTGCCTAAGTCTATGAGTCCATCTGTCCTTGGTCTTCAACAACTACAGCTGATCTGCAGTCTCTGACCACCTCTTGTAGCATGTCTGCAGTCCCTGACCACCTCTTGTAGCATGTCTGGAGTCTCTGACCACCTGCTGTAGCATCTCTGCAGTCCCTGATCACCTCTTGTAGCATTTCTGCAGTCTCTGACCACCTCTTGTAGCATGTCTGCAGTCTCTGACCACCTCTTGTAGCATGTCTGCAGTCTCTGACCACCTCTTGTAGCATGTCTGGAGTCTCTGACCACCTCTTGTAGCATCTCTGCAGTCTCTGACCTCCTCTTGTAGCATGTCTACAGTCTCTGGCCACCTCTTGTAGCATGCCACACATGAAGCCCCCTATAGACCACCACTGGCTCAGGGGCTACACAGGTTTAACAACTCTGCAACTTACAGGGGTACAGGTTGTGGCAATAATGGGGGTGAGTATGAAGATGAAAAATATAATTATTTTGTCCCCCAGTTCAGATAAAATGCAGGCCTTCATTTAGTCATTTGCCAGGCCTTCCACATTCTACGGAACAGATATCTGCTATCTGGCCTGTGATCTTTATTGCCCCCCCAGCAGAAGTGAGTCCCAAAACTCCTAAGCCTTTTACAGCTGTCCCTAATTAAAGGCATGGCACCAGGCCCTCATCTGTCCCCAGTGGACAAGTTAATATAAACATGAGCAGGTCTGGTAGAGGTAATGACCCCAGGCTACCCCGCATTCACCCAAAAGTCATAAACCTTAGTTACAAAATCAGCTCCATTTCATAATTTGAAATTGTGTGGGGATAGTGTAAAATTAAGGGTTATCCTCCTCCCTGCTTTCCCTCCCCAGCCCTGCCCCAGTGGCCGGCTCCGGGACACCCCCCAAAAGGGGCTTATAAAATATTCTGTCTAGGCGACTAGAGATGGCTCTTGTTTTAAAACATCAACGAAGGAACAAAGAAGTCTTAACATCGCAGAGTTCCCCTTTAATCTCTGGACATCATCTGCTGAAAGCTTGCTTGAAGAAGAGCCCTTCAGACTTCTCCTTTGCTTATACAACTCGGAACTCTGTCAGAACTCCTAATTCCAGGACTGTTACGTATTCTCCTTTTATTCCCTTTTATTTTACTGTTGTATAAATATTTTGTCTCTCTTTTTGAATATCTTTTTCTGTATATTTTCTGCAGTTTCTTTTATTAAAGGACGATCCTAAAAATCGTTAAAGGAGAACTATGAGGTGAGTGCTTTTCACTCACCTCATAGTTCTAGCCGACCTGTGACAATGAAACTGTCACAGGTCAGCTCAGTAGATTGGGAGGTGAGCGAACACATGCCGGCTTTCGCTCACCTCTCGATCCTGTCACGGCTCTCTGCCGTGACAGGGGAGGGGCTGGATTACCCCCTCCCCGCTCCGATCTGCCAGCGCTGATTGGAGGAACGGACGGGGGAGGGGGCGGGTACAGCTGGCTCTGCCTCTAAATAGGCAGAGCCAGCTGTCAGTCACGCTGGGCAGATCCAGACATAATTATCCGCTTCAGCTGCGGCGTCTTAGTATACCACGAGCAGCAGCTACTGCGGCGTCTTAGCTGTAGCTCGCGGTATACTGAGCCTAGGGTGACGGGAGGACGCTAGTTTGTGTCCTCCCGTTACCCTAAGGAGAACTATGGGGAAAAGCCTTAACCCCATAGTTCTCCTTTAAGCTTATCTCTAGCTCTAAATATGAACTTAAAGTCTCCTTGCCTCTGTGAAGAGCGCTACTGTATAGTGAATCCTGTCATATTCCTTTCTGAGAGGACAGCGGTATCATAGGCATTGTTTAAGTGTTTTAAATTGTCACAGCACTTGCTGGTCACGGTCAGTGTTTCTGTCAAAAAACACATGGTGGCAGCGACTGTGGAGTTAACCAACCCTGGTGATGATCGCTCTCAGTCTGCTGGCCTGAGATTGTGTCCCGCAAGCGGGGAAAGCTCTGTGCAGGGTGAGGCTGAGAGTGGTATCGCCATGTCCTTGTGACGCCCGCACTCGGTTCAGAACTGTATATAGTCACGTGTGATTGACGTACAGCGGGTTTGGGCAGGGTGTACATCACACAGGTACTCTTAAAAAACTAGACCACACAGGGACTCGTGTACACACACACACATGCACAATCACATACAGACACACTAAGGTTGAACTTGATGGACCTGTGTCTTTGTTCAACCTCAAATACTATTCAACTATGTAACTCTGCAACTTGTAACACCCTCTGGTAGCACAATCACATCACTCTATAGTGCTGACAACAACAGGGGCGGCGTATGCAAGCACCAATGTTATGATTTTAGGACAGTTCTGGACATACACCATTACCGGAGCGGTGGAAATTTTGGGAGGGGCGACAGCGATGTTCATCAGTGCAGCAAGAAGAGGAGAGGGGAGGGTGATGTAAATGGATGGCGCAGCAATGGAGGATGGAAGGAGAAAATTTAGAATAATCCCAGCATATGACTTCAGGTCTGGGCCAAGATTCTGCCACACGCTGGAACCAGTGCCACCATCATGTGAGAAATTAATGAATGGGCGTGCACCACTTTTATTGTGTGTTGTTTTATATTTTTGGGATGGGAAGTTTGATGACACTTAAAGGGTAGAAGGTGTACAGTGGGGTCAGGACAATTTCCACTTCAGAAGGCAAAAACAAAGCAGAGTTACAAGGGAACATTTTTACTTTATTTCAGTATATATGTGTCATTTCATTATATTTAATACTTTAAAAAAAAACCACAAACTACAATTTCCCAATCTGTCAGTAATCTGGAGCATCGCCCCCCTCAGGCTTCCACACAATTAGGCTTCATCGCTTGACAGATCACATGACCTGCCCAGCGGTCCACAAGCAGGGGGCGCCGCTATTGGCCAGCCTCGCTCTCGCTGCCGTCGACGTCACGTGAAAGCGCTCTATTCCTGGGGCGCCGTGATTGGTCGAGGCGGCGCAGCCAGTCAGGAGCGTGGATGCTGATGGGTCCCCGGACCGAGCGCGGCTGAGGAGGAGGGGGGTGCAGGGCCGCTGTGTGAGTACCGGTGAAGGGGACAGGAATGGGGGGGGAATGTATACACGATAATGCTGGGAGAGTGCGGGGGACACACACATGAGGGGAGGAGAGTGGGTGACTGTACAAGGTGCCCATAGACATGGCGGGCACTCTTGGGGCCTCATGGTCTGGGGATACAGGGTCAGCTCCTCCAGCCTCTGTTTTCATGGCTTCCATGTTGGTCGTATAGTTTAATGCTGAGAAGTTGGGATAAAGACACCTCTAATGCAGGGGGTGGGCAGACCATGGCCTACAAATCCCATCATGCACCTGTCTCTAGGAGACAAGCCTTTGGCTGACAGGTTCTTGCAATGCCTCATGGGACTTGTAGTTCCACCACAGCCAGAGGGCCGTAGTTTGTCCTCCCCTGCTCTAAAGAGAAGTCACCACCGCTGACTTGCTTTTTGCAGGTAGAAGTTCCAGGGCTGCCCTTCTGCTATTTCATACAGTGAGATGTCAACCTGGAACTGGTATTCACACTTAAAGTAACCCTCTTCATGTTTGAAGAATTACACCGAAACTCCGGGGTGAAGGTTCATTATCGCACTTCACTTACATAGGTACCTGAAGGAGGCTTCTGTCCAGTGGATATGTCACATCTGCTTGTAAAAACTACAGTTCTCATAATCCAATGGGAGTTGTAGTTGGGAATGAGGCCAATGTAACCACTAGATCAGTGCATTGCCTACCCGCCCACGCTGCCTTGCGTACCCTCCCACCTCTCTGCACACAGATTCTCAACTGACAAGGTGCAGGGGTCCTGAAATGTCAGGGAGGGCCCCTGACATCTTCTAAGGGCAGCATGTAATAGTTGTAATGCTACAGAAGCCTGTCACCGACTGATGGCTTACTATTGGAAACAGTCAGAGATTGTTCTACAGGAGCAACCCACTACAATGAGCACTAACTTAATTACATCACCTCTCCATGCCCTTAGAAGCTACAGACGGGACAGTATACGGCCATTGGCCCGGGGAGTAGCGGGCATAGCGGCCACCAATATGTAACAACTGGTGACTGAGCTGTGATCTATATTCATTCAGCTCGGGATTACTCTGGGTGTGCTTTACTCTATAGCAAAACAAGAACATGCGGCGCCAAGGTGGGAAATTCATTTTGAATACATTATATAACCAAAAAAATGTAAAAGAAGAACATTAAAGAGAATCTAAAGCTAATGGCTGCATTAGTTTTCTTTATTAGGCTTTTTCACCTGGTGAATCGGCCAGTAAGGCCGGCTATACACTGTGTGAAGTCTGCATAGTGTATCGGCCGAACTTTGCACAGTGGGTGCCGCTGTCAGCCCCCTTTTGCCAGCATCCCTCCATCGAAGATTTCCCAACCGCCTCCTTTGAACAAATAGAGCCGGCAGCCATTCCGCTCTGGGCTCCATTTGGGTATCCTGACAGTGGCTGGCCGCCGTCAGAATACAGTGCAAACAGCAGGAGATTCCTTGATTTACGTTCGTAGCATTGATGGAGGAATCTGTTATATTTGTTCAGCCCGCAGACGATAGAAAATATTATAGTGTATGGCAGGGCTCAAAATTTCAAGTCCTGAGCTACTAGCCAGGCCTTAAGAGTTACTCGCCACCAGTCGCCCCACCTGACCCCTACCGTGCCCCGCCCTTAACTCCGCCAGGTCAGTGGTGTGACACAGAGAACAGAGATCAATTCAACTTCCTTTAACAGGCTGAGCTATCCAGTAAAAATGTCAGATAAATTGTTCCTCTCAATCATCTTAACACTGACAGGGGTGCTTACAATGATCCGTTTTTATTCATTTATGTAAAACCTTTATCCCAAAATGAAAAAACAGTTACTGTATCTGCTTTAAAAGTGATAACTGGAGTTCGGATTTAATTTGTTGTCAAGTCTAAATCTGCTCCTATATTACATAGTATTTGAGGTTGAATAAAGACACAGGTCCATCCAGTTCAACCTTTGTGTGTATATCGAAGGACAGTGTCAGCACCAATTCAGAGATGATTTGAGGATCTACAGCCGAGTGATACGCAAATCAGATACATTTCTGTTAAAGGAGAACCATGAGGTGAGTGATCTCCACTCATCCTCATAGTTAGAGCCGACCTGTGACAAAGAAGCTGTCACAGGTCGGCTCTATAGATCAGGAAGTGAGCAGAAACATGCCGCCAATCCGCTCACTTCCCAATCGTCTCCCTGCAGTGACTCAGTCATCGCTCCCTGCAGGAATTCCCCCCTCTCCGATCCTCCAGCAATGCCTCTAGATAGCAGCAGCCTCGCGCAGCTGGGTGGATCTCGACAGTATTGTTGGGATCCGGCTGCGGCGCTCTTAGTATATCGCGGGCAATAGCGCACGATATACTGAGCTACGGGAGAATGCTAGTATATGTCCCCTCTGTGACCGTAAAGAGAACTATGGGGAAAAACAATTATCCCATAGTTCTCCTTTAAGGTACTTGAATGCATTTTTAAGATTTACTTCCTGAGTTTAGTGTCCCTTTAATACTCCTGTTGCTAGGTCTCAGATCTTTACTTTTCAAAAGCTACAAGCTTCAACAGAATCTTTTGTAATTGGACACGTTCAGTTGCTTGGTTCCACGCTGCACTCGCTGGCTCTGTCTTCTGCATCAGTATCGTGGCTTTGTGTGGACTGTTTGGCAGAGGGGTTAATGGTCAGATCAGATGCTGGCTTGCTATCCTCCAAAGGCCGGCTTGTAACATAGAGAAGTTAGAACATTAATGTGGGAATACTGGTCCGATATAATAATGTACAATAGTAATTGGACCTGATGCAAAGCAGACACTCCACATATTAGTGCTGATAATTTCAGTGCTGAGAGTTTGGAAGTTTAGTAAACTTGCTCTGCATGGGTAATATACAGGTTCACGTTACACTTCTGCACACTTTGGGGCTATGTCCCTAATTCATTTACTGATGTACTCCTTTTTATTCTTTTTAACAGCCTTTTTGACCGAGTAACATCTCATCAGCCATGGCAGAGGGTGTCCAGACTCCAGTCGTATACCAGCACCAGTACATGTGCTCAGAGTGTGGTTCTCTCTACAATACATTGGAAGATGTCTTGGTTCACCAACAAAACCATGTCGGTGGAGGTGTACAAGCAGCAGTGTCCCAGGATGTTTCCCTGGAGCTGGGAGAACTGCAGAGTTTGGTCCAGGAAAGCCAGTACCAATGTTTGGAGTGTGGGCAAGTTCTTTTGTCACCAGATGAGCTTCTACATCACCAGGAGATGCACATACGCGAATTCCCACAGACTCCCTCCGCCCCGTCTTTGGGAAATAGCCAAATCCACTACCAGTGCTCGGAGTGTAAAGAACTCTTCACCACCCCTGAGCTGTGGGTTGCTCACCGCCGAAAGCATGAAAAACCAGAGCAGCCACCTCAACAAAGTGTCGTTCTGCAAACCGGAACCAGTATCCAGGCATTGCTTAGCCTGCAAAATGTTCTGCTGGACGAGAGGACTTTAAATGGTTGGGGGGTAGAAGTTCCAGCTGTGGTTGCAACCACAGAGAGCGCAGCACAGTCTGGACCACAAACATGCCTCACAGTAGCAACTGAAAGTGTACCTGGGAAAGGAGAACTGGTCCAGGTCTCGGAGATGCACCCATATGAATGTTCCGAGTGCTTAGAAGTATTCCATACCCCTGAAGAATTTCTTGACCATCAGGGTCGACACTTCACTGAATCAGAGAAAGAAAGCTCAGCTTCTCCCTTGTACAGTAGCTCAGAAAATGCTGCGCCCTCGCCCAGTATTATTGAGAAATTAAGGAAAGAATGGATGATAGAGGAACATGAAGAAAGGACCAGAGAAAGCTTGGGGTTAGTGCAACGGGTTTACCGCTGCCAGGAGTGCAAGAAGGAGTTCATAACGGCAAAGTACCTTCGGAAACATCGCAAGGAACAACACAGTGTGGAATTTCCATGCCCCGACTGCGATCGCTTCTTTACCTCTGCCAACCGATTGCAGTCCCATCGGCGCGTGCATGTGGAAGGAAACTTGCAGTGCCCAAATTGCTACAGAGTGTTCAAGAAGGAGGCCTCTTTGGAGCAGCATATGAGAATACATCGGGGGGAGGCTCTGTATCTCTGTGTGGATTGCGGTTTAGGCTTTGGTACAGAGATCACCTTGATCTTGCATCGGAAAAGCCATACCGCAGACCCCCTTCATCGCTGCCACTGTGGCAAAACGTTCAGTAACATGACCAAGTTTTTGTATCATCGAAGGACACATTCTGGCAAAAGCGGTGTCCCCACTCCAAGGCAGGACAAACCGTCCTTCATACAACAGAGACCCTTAGTTCTCTCAGATTCTCCCGCCATTTCAGCTGCTATGCCTCTCGCAAGTTTAACTGCTTCAAAGTTTCTTCCTCAACAAACAGCCCTGCACAATGTGGCCCAGAACGCACAGTCCCAGAAAAACGGGTTCAACCCACACATTTCAACAACAGAGCCAAAGAATGGCTCAGGGACTCAGGCTCAGAGCTTCAAGTGCCCTCAATGCAGCAAAGACTTCCCAACACAGCTGAAAATGATGCAGCACAGGCGAGTGGTTCATGCCATGGAAAGAAAGCACAAGTGCAGCGTATGTAGCAAATGCTTTAAGAAGCAGGTGCATCTGCGAAACCACCTGCGCACCCACACAGGCGAGCGTCCATTCCAGTGTACGGATTGTGGCAAGACCTTCAGCTCCCTTACCAGTCTAACACGGCATCACCTTGTACACACTGGGGAGCGACCGTACAAATGTGACCTCTGTGGACATTCATTCACCCAGAGTTCTAATCTGCAGCAGCATCGTGCCCTGCACACCGGCTCTAATCGGTTCCCTTGTAAGATCTGTGGACTAGAATTCAACAGGGCTTCCAGGCTTGCATTGCACCAGATCAGACACACGGGCATCCTGCCTTACAAATGCCCCGACTGCGGCAGGACCTTCTTGCGCAAGAAACTACTGCAGCTGCACCAGTTAGAGCATCAAGGCAAAGCTCTGATCTACTGCAAAGATTGCGCCGTTGTTTTCCCCGAAGAGTCGCAACTCGCCTTGCACACTTGTCGCAGCAAAAATGCGTGTCAGTATAAATGTCCCACGTGTGGCAAAAAACTAAACTCCAGTTCCAGCTTGAATCTCCATCTCTTACTCCATACGGGTCAGCGACCATTTAAGTGTCATGTCTGCGGAAAAGGTTTCGCTAGCCAGAGAGGAGTGACACGACACCAGCAGTGGCATTCCGGGGTCCGCCCTCATAAGTGCGGCGTTTGCGGAAAAGCGTTTGTCGCCTCTTTCAGTTTGCAGTTGCACCAGCGTGTTCACACTGGCGAACGTCCGTTTCCCTGCCTGGACTGCGGTAAGAAATTCCGGCAAGCCGTCCACTTGAGAGAGCACCGCCGCCTGCATACGGCGGAAAGACCCTTTCGCTGCCAGGATTGCGGAAAGACCTTTGTCCATTCGATTCAACTGGCAGAACACAGTCATGTTCACAGCAGTGACCATCATCGCAAAACTCACCAGAACCCGATTGCCCAGACGCAGCAGACAATCATGTGCACAGAACTGGGAGAGCCCATAGCAATTATTGAGAGTGTGGAACCGCTGCCCCTGGCTGAGACCATTGAGATTTACCAGGCGGCACTGGAAGGGAATTTGCAGGTGCAGGATGTGACTTTATAGGCGTCCTCACTGTTCATACTGTATATAGTTCAATAGAACGGGATGTGTTTATTCCTGACATAAAAGGCTTATATTTATAAACCCTTCCTAGTACTTTTTTACTTCACAAGCAGATCCAAGAGGGAGATGTCCATGAAGGTTGTCATTCATCCAGGTCATGGTATAGCTAAAAAAATCCGAATTGAAAAAAAGCTTCTCTGATGACCAGCAAAAACGTCTTGAAGAAACATACAGCAGGTCCAGTTGCCTTGATTTATCTTTTTCAGATATAGTCTGTGGAAGCCACCATCATCGCATAGATTTAACTACACAAGATTTAAAGTAACTTTTATACATTGGCTATATGTAAAACATTGATATCCTGGCACATAAGGTCCCTTTCAGACATGAACATCTAACCGTTTATTAAGGTTTAGTGTAGGAATGCACCGAAACATATTGGCCGAAAATAGCACTTTTGTCAAAATGCAGAAAGTGCCATTTTTTTTGTCTGAAATAGCGGTACATCCGTGTATTCTCTCCTCCCCGTTGGGCAGTGCTCTGTGTCCAAGCGGGGAGGAGAGAAACTGTCACAGGAGGCCGAGCGCTGCGGGAGGAGTGCTGAGTGGCTGGCGTCTCTCCTCCCTGCACCGCTAGGCCTCCTGTCGCATATCAGGAGAGCGATGGTGTGGGGGTGGAGACAGCTGTCAAAGGAGCCCGGTGTGGGGGAGGAGCCAGCTGTCAGATTGAGATCTCTCCGCTAGCTCAGCCTCCTGGGACAGCGTGTTAGGAAGGAAAGCGGGTACAAGCAGTCAGTGATCGCTGAGTGTTTGTAAATTATTGAGGACAGTATGGTTACTAAATCCTCAATAATGAATGAACAGGAAGTGCTTTACATCACTTCCTGTTCATTCATGATTGTGGATATAGTAAACGCAATGTTCTCATGTTATGAATGAACAGGAACACTCAGTATAGAGGATTCCTGTTCATTGATAACAGGCTGCAGAATAAGAGATGGGAGGGCTCTGTGTTCTCAATCTCTTTTTCCATTTTAAAAGGGAAATATCGGGTCTTTTCAGACTCCCAATATTTCCCTGAAGCCCCTAAAAGTAAACTAAAAAATAATAAATATAAAAAAAATTAAACTTTATTTAAAAAGAACAGGACATGATGGGATATCTCTCTCATGGAGCCCTGGATAGCAGTTATACCGGAAAGGGCTTCTAAAATTTCCCTATTCTATCCACAACTAAAACGTTTTGGGTATAGATACTTTGTAAGTCCTCCATGAGGTGAATTACACTTATTGTCTGCCTTAGGAATAGGTGTCATCAAGACAGGAAGTGAAAGCAGAATCTACCGGTGACAATACAATTGCTGGCCTGCCCTTTAGGAATGATCGTTCCCTGGTTGTCAGGCTAATGCTTTGTCTTCAGAACTTTCTCCAGTCTCGGCCCTGGAACAAGTATAGAAATAAGGAAATTCACTTTTTTTCATTTGAAGCCGAACACCACAAGCTAATTAGCGTTCTCAGGAGGAGGCGGTCAGTGGTAGCCCCATATTTCCTATAGGTTTATGTTTGGTGGCATACAGATGGCAATAAAAACCTGAGTTACCAACCTTTACTTTTTCCTGCTGCACACCTGCAGTCTTCTGGTCACCTTCAGTCATCCAACCTTCCCTTGCTACCAGCTGCCTGGGTTTTGGAAGTACCTGAGGCCTTGAGTATACATGTTTCCTTACCACTACATGATCACAACATGTCTGTCTCGAGACACAGGGGGGGGCTTTGTACAGGGTTCTCCCATGTAGTTCCTCCCATTCCCCCGTGACTCTATGAATCTCTCTGCTTCACAAACTGCTGTGTGAATCCATTACAGATATTTACTCTCACCCCAAAGTGGGTGTTTCTTGTAGCCATCACATTTGTGGTACGTGGAACCTTTTCTGGTTCTGCATAGGGACATGGTGGTGTTGAAGACTTCCTTCTTGCCTGAGGTAGTTTCTTTTATCTCAACCGGAATCTTTCCCTCTATTGTCTGCATGGGGTTTAGGCTGTGCGAGTCTCAGACACCTCATTGGGTGTTTTTTCTTTTGTAATTTGCAGGAGGGTGCACTAGGTTCTCGTTCTATCCTCTCCAGGTAGCTCAGGCAGACCATCATCCAAGCTTATGGTCTCAGTGATCGGGTTCCCCCTTTTCAAGGCCACTTGAGTTTTTCTACAACAGGGGTGCCCATTAGGTCGATGGCAAAGCGAACACTGGTAGATCTCAATCGGCTCACTGACCTGTGTCCTATACTCATGCGGCTGTGTCAGACGGGAAGGGGCGGGACACCTCTTTCAGTGCGCAACGTCGGCCACATGAGCACCGCGGGAGGACAGGACAACGACGCACGAGAGGAGACCTGGGAAGCTGCTGCAGTGGAGGCAAGAAAAGACAGACCGCAGAGAGGAGAGACCTAAGAGAGACAGCCGACAAACAGGAGAAGATAGAGAAGACAGCAGAGAGAGAATGAAGAGAGACAGCCGACAAACAGAAGAGAACGAGAAGTTAGAGAAGACAGCAGAGAGAGAGGAGAGGCAGCAGAGAGGAGAGACAGCAGAGAGGAGAGAGACAGCAGACAGAAATGGGAGAGAACAAGAAGATAGCGAAGACAGCCAAGAGAGAGTCCGGTTCACACCACAAAGTCCACGTTCCAGAGTGTTCGGCCTCTGGAACGTAAGCCAGCCTGCTCCCTGCGTTCAGGGGTGTGGGGTTACATTGAAGTCAATGGCACCGCAGCCACGCCCCCCGCCCACAGTGCGATCGCCAGCGCCGGGAATGCAGGCACTTTAGTGCCTGCATTCCAGTGCAATCGGCGAAAATAGTGCTTGCAGCATTTTTGCAGATCGCACTCGACCGGAACGCAGGCTGCGGTGCCATTGACCTCAGTGCACTGTCACGCCCCTGAATGCAGGTGTTTTTTCGTTGGTAGATCTCATCATTTGAAAAGTAGATCTCCAGACGAAAAATTGCGAGCGCCCCTGTTCCACACCATACTATTCAAGCCACGTCTTTATGCAGCTGGCTTCATGCACACGGACACAGTCACGGGGGAACAGAAAAGGGCCTCTTCCTGAACTGTTGTCAAAAGCTTAACAAAATGTCTTTGTATCCCATTCACGCGCCTGCACTCAATCATATACAGGGATGTCCACATACAATTGACCGTATTGTGTACTTCAGTACAGGCGTTCCTTAAAGTGAACCTGTCCGGTTCTAAGAATCTGTTAAAATACAGCTGAAGGCACTTGCAAGTATCTATTTTGCGTTTCTGTGCCGAGCACCACTTCTGCCATTAAAGCATCCAGTGACAGAGTCTCTTGTGACCACTTAGCTTCTGGAATGGCATTGCTGAATGGGGAATTCAACATCAGGATGGGAGGAAGGGTGTATTGCTGAATTGGGCAGAAGCCAAGTGCCTGTGCCAGCCAGGAACTGGAGTCCAAGGAGACGGAACCTGGTTTGGTACTTCTAGTCACTTCATTTGTCATTACAGATCGGAATGGTTTCCCAGTGACTATCTTCCCTTTAGCAGGAAAGTCCTGCAACCGGTGATCATCACAAAGAACTGCTCGGTCATTTTCCCAATAATGTCATCGTGGAAGGGTCATGGGGGAAATGTCATTGTGTCTCCTCCATGTGTTGTGTAACCTCCATGACAGGACCAGTTCCACCCTTCTAAATAAGATATGATGGTGACATTCACTGGTGTAAGTTGCAGCACACAGAAGGCCCCTCTACAGCCTCTCGCTGCTTCCTGTGCCTCCAGCTGGGCAGCACTTCTCTTGGAAATCTATTTGACTTGTTTACTTGGAAACGCAATTACCGCTAGAAGTAATTATTGTTTTTTTTAGCTTCTTCTATTGTTATCAAGGGAGACGTGTGTGTTCTGCCTCCTATCGATGGAAATTCCAGCCCTTGTTTTCAATCTCATCTCATGAAACCTTTCTGTGATATCCTGCAGGAGTGGTGCATAGTTGTGGGAAGTTTTTCTGCCACTGGCCATCAGTTTTCAGAGAGGGTTTTCTGGCATGAACGGGCAATCATTTGGGTGGTGTTTACTGCAACTGACCTCAATGATTTGGTGGTGGGGTTGGGGACTTACTACTACTGACCACCAATAATTTGGGTGGTGTTTACTGCGACTGACCTCAATGATTTGGTGGTGGGGTTGGGGACTTACTACTACTGACCACCAATAATTTGGGTGGTGTTTACTGCAACTGACCTCAATGATTTGTTGGTGGGGTGGGTGACTTACTACTACTGACCACTAATAATTTGGGTGGTGTTCACTGCAACTGACCTGAAATTATTTGGGGTTGGTGACTTACTACTACTGGCCACCAAAAATTTGGGTGGTGTTTACTGCCACTGACCTGAAATGATTTGTTGGTGACTTACTACTGCTGACCACCAATAATTTGGGTGGTGTACTTCCACTGACCACAATTATTTGTTGGTGGGGTGGGTGACTTACTACTACTGACCACCAAAAATTTGGGTCGTGTTCACTGCCACTGACCTTAAATGATTTGGTGGTGGGGTGGGTAACTTATTACCACTTCCCACCAATAATTTGAGGAAAGGTGGTATTACTGCCACTGATCATTGGTACCTGTCAACTGTCACTTGTGCCCTCAGTCTCTATTGAACCGTGCAGCTAAGTCCACTAGATGCAGGTACTCGGAACTTTCTGTTTCAATGCTGGGGGTTTGTGTCTACAGTAGTAAATGTAACTGGACAGATCATGCATGAGACACCCATCGCACCACCCACACATTGATCTCTCCCCAGTATCTGGCCTCCATCATACACTCTACTTATGGCCAAGTAAGATCTGCGGTCCAGCTGGCGTGGGTCACTTCCCAGTATCTAGGCCACCAGTGATGGCTACAGCTCAGCATACACAACTCACTCCCCAATATTCATATTGCTGGTGACATCTGCACTCCAATACTCTCTTAGCTGTCTCCTCATTGTATAGATCACTGGTGACATCTGCGCTGCAGTCCACTCCACAGTCTCCATATTTTATTTCATGAT